ACTAATGTATGATAACTGACACAATGAAGTGAACTATAACATACAAAATGAAAATAAATTGGTAGTTAAAAAGTAAATTAAACTAATTAAGCAGCATGCATGCTGGCACAATAATGCTTAATTATGCTTTAAAATTTGATGAGTTTTTAATAACTATTAATAACAGAGTCACATGACGCAGTGGCTATTTAAAGCACAGCTAAAGCCACAGCTAAAACTTCCTTTTAGCTATCGAGCGAGATTATGGCTACAGCTAGTCCACCGGGTCAAGGAATAAAAAATGGTATGAAAATTCTCGTGATTGGTCGCAATGGAGTTGGAAAGTCCTCCTTAATCAATAAAATACTTGGAGCACCTAGAGCAAAGGTTGGTAGCTCTGTGCAGCCTACTGAGCATAAGGTAGTTGAAGAAATTCACCACACAGTAGGTGAAAATAATGATATACCAGTTACAGTATATGATACTCTGGGCTTTGGAGATGCAAAAATAAAAGATAGAAGTATCATTGAAAAAGCAATATCAAAAATGAAGGATGCTGACATTGTTCTAATATGCCACAGATTGTATGCCAGATTTGAAGACACCACTGAGAAAATGCTCAAAGAGATGATAAGAGCACTGGGTAACGACTTGATGCAGCACACAATCATTGTGTTCACCAATGGGGATCAATATCTTACAGAATGGGATGAAAGCAGTGGCATAACTGCTAAAGAACAAATGGAAGAGCAAGAAAAAGCAATCAAACAAAAAATGAAGTCATTTCTTGAGAAAAAAAAAAATTAAAAGCGAGATAGCTCGAGACATCCGAAGCATAGTGACAAGTAGCAAGAAGGAGACTCTGCCTACAAATGAAGACGGAAGCAAAAATTGGGTTAAAGATTTTTGGGAATTGTGTGGTCAACGTTGTACTCCTGAAGCAGTTGAATTTGTAGCTTGGTATAAGAGACATATAAATACAGTGTATCTTGCAGGCGGAGGCACAGCAGGAGCAGTTCTAGCAGGAGCGGCAGGTGGTGCAGCACTTGGTGGTATTATAGGCAGTCCCATAGTACCTGGGATTGGTACTGTAGCTGGTGCAACAGTCGGTACGGTGGTTGGTGGTGGAGCTGGACTTATAGTTGGAGGAGTTGGAGGAACAGGATTAACTGCTGCTGGGCTGAAGGTAGCAGAAAAGATTGAGAAAAAGAAAGAAAACAAAGAAAACAATTGACACTGAGAAAATTGCATGTGTGACATAGCTAGTTTTAATAGTGTGTGCAAATTTTTTATAGCTTGATATATTGCTTTTTCTTATTAGTTTATTTTTTAATTTTAACAAGCAAAGAATCTGCACAGCAGGGACTGCTGTGCAGTTTTAGTTTAGTGATGAAATGCACAGTTCATACATGTATACTATATCCCAACTGA